CATCACCCCCACGTGCCCCATCCCTGTTGTCCCAATGTCCTCATGTCCCTCATCACCCCCAAGTCTCCTCTCCCTGTTGTTTCCCCGTGTCCCCCATCCCTACATCCCACATCCTTGTGATGTCCCTCCATCCCCACATCCCTCCACACCTATGTCCCCACATCTCCATGTCCCCAGGAGATATGACAATAGCCTCAGGAACAACTGCCTCACGTCAGCCTTACCACTACGTGATGAGGGACACAGAGCAGAAGGGGCTGTGCCTGATTGATGGGCAGTTGGTGGCCACCAGCCTGCAGGGTGCCAACGCTGCCCAGGAAGGTTGGTGTCCCTGAGGGGGTGGGAGGGGGTGACAGCCACCCATGGGGCTCTCACCCACCCCTGTGTCCCACAGAGCCCATCAGTGTGGTGCCCAACCGGCACCTGGAGCGCCAGCGCTGTCCCCTCATCGTGGGCATCCGTGGGGGCTCTCGGGCACTGTCCTGCGGCACCGGCCCCGAGCCCAGGCTGCAGCTGGAGGTGAGTGGGGGCACCTGGAGGGCACCTGGGGGGCAACCAAGGTGGGGACACCCCGGGGTGGGTCAACCCAAGGTGGGCAACTCAAGGTGTGGGCACTCTGGAGTGGGGAATCCATAGATGAGATAACCCAAGTTGGGTCAACTCAAGGTGGACAATTCAGAGGGCACTCTGAGGTGGTGGGGACCTAAAGGTGGGTCAGCTCAAGGTGGATGACCCAAGGTGGTGGTGATGGACATCCAAAGATGGGGCAATCCAAAGTGGGGACATCCTAAAAGGGTGGCATCCCAAAATGGTGCCACCTTGAAGTGGTGTCACCTGGAGGTTGGGGTTTCCCAGGGTGGTGTTACCTTGAAGTGGGGTCACCTGGAGGTGGGAATTCCTTGAGGTGGTGTCATCTGGAGATGGGGGTTACCTGGAGATGGGGTCACCTGGAGGTGGAAATTCCTTGAGGTGGTGTCATCTTGAGATGGGGGTTACCTGGAGGTGGGGTCACCTGGATGTGGGAATTCCTTGAGGTGGTGTCACCTGAAGATGGGATCACATGGAGATGGGATCACATGGAGATGGGATCACATGGAGATGGGATCACCTGGAGATGGGGTCACCTGGAGATGGGAATTCCTTGAGGGGATACCACCCCAGGGTGATGTCCCAGCTCTGTGCTCCCTGCAGGACGTGGAGCTGCTGGACCTGTTCTCCCGTGGTAGAGATGAGGCCACTCCCTACACCTTCTACAAGACTTTTGGGGGCACCACACACACCTTCGAGGCCGCGGCGTTCCCAGGGATGTTCCTCAGCACAGCCCCAGGCTCGGGGCAGGCACTGGCCCTGGCCCCTTCTGCTGGGGCCACTGCCTTCTACCTGCTCCGCAAGTGACCACAGCACCACGGGGGTGGGGGGACACCCATGGGGGTAGGGGGACACCCGTGGGAGGGGGGAGGACACTGAATAAAGAGACAATGTTGATAT